GTTTCCTGTCCGACCTTACAGGTATTTGTAACTCGGGGCGGGGGGGAAGAAGGGAGCAGCCTCTGAGGTGTTGGAGGCAACAGTCTTCACTGCAAATGAACTTGCTCCTATTAGAAAAATTCTGAATTTCCTGGAAAGCAATCAATAAATGACTACAGTGCATCTTTCCTATAAGATTTTTCTTTTACTAGTGTCTTTCAGTCCATTAAAAGCTTTTTAAACTATAGTAGGTACTTTATTGTTTCTTTACAATCTGGTGCAAGGTATTAGCACCAGCACTGGAGCCACCACTCCTGTTTCCTTTGAGCAGAAGCTGGGGGAGAGAACAGGTCCAGGTGAGCTGGAGGCTTTAAAACCTGTAAATCAGTACCCAAGTCACAGCCCCAGCACCCCCAGCCCCGAGGGGCAGGACCCACCCTCTGCTGTCAGAATCTATCTGTGTTCACAGAGAGAAGTCACTTCTCCCTCCTGCTCCAGGGGAGAAGGGGGAACAGGGACACGGGGGCTCTGGGGATGTTGTGGCCATACAAAATGAAGCCAGAGGACACAAGTCCTGGCTGCTGAGGCTCCAGGGCCAAGAGCTCCAAGAGTGGTGCAGGCTGGTAAATAACTGCATTTACCAACATGTCTGTACCTCTCTTTACCTCTTTGGGGGTCTGGGTGTTCTCATTACTCTGTTCACAAGTTCTTAAACAAATGTAAAATCTGGCTCAAATGAGCCTGGGCTACAGCTGGACCAGAGGTGGGCAGATGTTCAGCCCTAGAACAACTCACCTGCTAAGCTTGCTCCTAGTTGGTACAGGCACGTGTAGCTCACCTCACTCAGGTCCAGCCCAGGCCTTCACTGGTCACAATCTGGGGAGAAGCCTGTGCACCCAACCACATCACACCCACCAATGCCCCAAACCTCTACATATGTCATTTCATATTCAACCCTGTCAGCTGAAGAACGTTTTAATGCCCATCAGAGTTGTATCAGGACTGGAAACAGCAGGTGAAAACAACCTCACATGCCCACAGAGCTGCTGTCACACTGCAAGAGCAACAACTCACCGAGCTGAAGGGGGAAATTCTTCAACTGCCCAGATTGCTCTTGGTAACTCACACCTGAACCTCCCTTGGGCTCCCTGTGCTTGCAGACACACAAGGCCTTCCTTTTACCCCTCTTCCCAAAGCCTGCCTGTGCCCCCTGTCACCCCAGTGGGGATGGCTCATGCACAGGCTGGCTCTGGCAGAGCCCCAATTCAGTTGTTTTTCCCAAATGCAAGTGGCTCTCCTCCAACTGTCCATCTTGGGCCTGTTCCCACTGACAAGTACCACCATACAAGCTGCTTCCACAGACCTCAACTGGTGGGAGTGCCCTTTCATTTTCTCCCCACATCAAGCCCAAGGGCACATCTGTGCTCTTCCATCAAAGAAGATGTGCCCATTCCAGTTCAGGTCACTGACCCATCTCTAAGCAGCACTTGAGACAATTAAGGCCAAATCACAGCGAAAAAAATCAAACCAAAGCACACACCGTCTGCAAGACCCCAATAGCAGAACAAATGTTTCCAGAACTATCCAGTGCCTTGGCTTTCCAGGTACCCACCTCCCCTGTGCCGGACCTGTGCTGCCTCAGGAAAGCCGAGTGATCACTCCGAGGATTCGCGGCAGTGCACGACCACCAGCCTCAACAGCTCCAACAGCGAGTGCAGAGCAGTCAGAGGCAGCTCCTGTTGGGTCTGCAGTAAACAGAGGGTCAAGGTAAGGGAGAAACCCAACCAAACCCAACCCAACCACAGAAGGGCAGTGCTGGGACAGCCCCAAGGGGGGTCCCCCGTGGCACAGGCAAGCCGTGGTCCCACAAGGCTCTCCTGACCACCTGTGAGACCAGCTTAGCCCACACAGAGCACCTCCCATGGCACCTCACTGCACCACATCAAACAACAAAACCTCTCACCACTCCGACTGCCACCAACCACCTCAAAACCGCTTCCCTTGTCCTCAGGTGAGCTCCTCAAGTTAAATTAAAATTAGAGCAAAGGCAAAGCAGGTGTGGAGCAAAATCTGAGGGTGAAACACCAATAGCTTTTCTCAAAGTAGTTTTAATTCTTGCATCCAAGGAAACAAAACCACATCTAGTTTTATATGCATTTAATAGTTTACCAATTGGTACAATAAGATTTTTTTAATATGCAGAAAACATGAATAAATTTTGTTTTACACAGTCTGAGAGCAACAAATCTTACTGTAAAACACAGAGCAGTATTATATACATTCCTTTACCAATTTTGTTTTAATTGTGTCAATAGCTTCAGTTAACTCCTACAGCTAGGAACTGTTCTCTCCAATTGCAACCTCTAACAGTGCTCGAACAAACATCTGACGTTTGCCTTCTCCATGTTGGAATCAACTCTACATTGTGAGGATTTTGCTAACTTCTCTTCAGAATGAACTTGGGGAAGCCTGAGGGACAGGCAGGACAGGAAAGCAGCTACTTACATGACACAGTGGAAAGATAAAAAGGCCAATTAATCCAGTTGTGACTTGCAAATCCAACGCGATCTCCCCGCTCCCCCCCGGCCATCCCACCCCTCTATGCACGTGCTCTTGCTACAGGACTCTCGGTATTGATTTAATACACGGACATTATGTACAGCTGGACACAACAGCTCACTCCAAGGGCGCTTTTCCTTCACTCAACTCAGCATTTGCAATATTCAAATCATTAAAGGATTACCAAGCCACCACTGTCTACAAAAACAAAGTATATTTCCTTTTAAACAGCTCTCAGGTGAGTCAGGAGCTTCTTAAGTGATTTCTCAGGCAGTTCACATGGACAGGAGGAGGCAGAGGGCAGGCAGGGGCCCCATGCCCATAGCCCCCACTCCCTACCAACTGGGGGTTGTTTTCCTTTCCTCAGTGCCCCGGGCACACATTGGTCACACCACACACAAAAACAGGACGGGTTTGTTTCACCTTCTAAAGTGCAAGATGCTATAAACCATCAACTTCCAGATTCCGTCTAAACCACAATAAATGTTGCACTTTTCAGCCCATGTGGCAGGGCCCAGGCTGGGTTAAGCCCAGGGGTCTGCAGCGGCTCCCTGGTAACACAGGCCAGAGGTGGGTCCTGGGAAGTGTTGCTCACTTTAGTCAGAAGTGCCAGACAAGCAGTGAACCTCTTGAGCCCTCCAACACATTTAGTTCATAATTGACCCAGTAAGCTCATTGTTGTAGTTTGATCACAGCAAAGGCACAGCACGAGCCGACAGAAGCAGTGGGGACAGCTGAACAGCGGCGTCCCAGAGCGAGCCGGGAACCCTCACCCCATGCCTGTGGCTCTCCCTTCCAACCAGGGCTTCAGCTCTGGTCCAGTGGGGACCATCCCTGAGATCATTCCCTGCAGCCCCAGGAGAAGGCTCACTCTGCACAGCAACAGTGACACTGGGGCTGGTTGTCCTGGTAAATGCTTGCTTGCTACAGGGAAAAAATGCAGTAGACAACTTCCACAGCACAGGTACCTTTAATTTCTCATTCAGGTTTGAGTTATGTACATGAGGGTGGTTTACTTTAGACTTAAATAAAGTTTCTAGGTCCTACCAGGAATTAAACAGATGTTATTAATTTACAGTTGCAGATGTATGGAGGGATTTAAGATGCACTACTTGTGTATCTGGAATTCTCTAATAGGACAAAAAGCAGCAAATGTTTCCAGTCCAAGCAGCTAACAAACAAAACAGACTTTATTCGTGCATGCTTAACTGCAGCAACACACACCAAGAATGACAGAAACCACTGGATTTAAGAGATTAGCCTGGATCTTAAACTGGCTCTGAAAACCCCCACATCAGAACCCTGGTTCCTCCACCCCTTCCCAGAGGATCCCACACCCCCATCCAGCTCCTCCCACAGAACAACAGGTCCTTCCCTCTGGGGCAACTGTGGAAGTTCTTCCCCCACCAGTGCAGTGTGTTTGCCCTCCAGCCCACCTTAAACTGGTCAGGGACTCTCAGCTTTAAAAGGGACAGTTTAAAAGCCACAGATTAAATCAAAGGAATAAAATAAAGCACAAATTCACCTGTTAAAACATCAGCCTGGTTCTTCATTGTATTGTCAATTTTAAAGTGGATTTTTAAAAAGACCTGGTTAGTTTGATAAGTATTGTAATTCTTTGTTATCTACAATGGAATCTGTCACAAAAATGCTGATTAAAATATTAATTTATAATATTTTCATTCACTTCAGATCAAAATATGTAACTTTAGGGATATGTAAATCAAAAATTGTGTACACCAAACAACATAAATACTAATAACCGAGCTGGGCTGGTTTTGCTGATAGGATTTGGGTTTGGTTTTAGTGTTTAGCATCATTCCCACAGATGGGAGTGGGCTTTGTTCAGGTGTTTTTCTTTTAGAGGCCTGTATGGATCTGACCTGCCATTGTTAGCTGATTCTCAAGATATTCAGTGCTTCCTTTAAAGCATTTAAATGCGGCAGCCCAAGGTGTTTCTCCACATGCAAACCCCAGGATGTTTTTATTGGAGCCACATTGCCAAGGTGAGGATCACCTCATTGTCAAAGGGTTTTCAAGGAGGCATTAAGGAAACTTTTGTATACCCCAACTTCCTGCCAGTGAATGAGGGAAGAGTCCTTTGATCCTGCTGTGTAATAGGAATTGCACATCTCTAACAAACATAGAAAGCAAACAGCAAGTTGGACCATGGCAGTCATTTGGGAGAGGAAGCTCTACTGGAAACTGGATCACTAAACTCTAGTGGGATGGACAACTCCTCCTGGAAGTTTGTCTAGCATAAAAAAAACCAAACAAAAAAACCATTTAAACTTAGTTTAACAGCACAGCTTAACCAATGACCAAATAAAAAATAAATACATTTATCACATCAGCTGCTAAGATTTGTTGTCTTATTTCAGGTTTACAGTCAGTTCTATAAATATACCAACCCTTGCGTGATAGGAGGCCAAAACAAGTGTTTTCTGTTGATTTGGCAAATGTTTCATGACAAATATTCCAGAGTTTAATTTATTTCCATTAATTACATATAAGGTTCAGAAGATTCTGAATTGCAGCCTTATTATCTAGTATTCTTAGAGAAGATTTATTAAGCACACTTAAGTGATGTTACATAGATACACATTTCTGAAAGAGCCCTACAAAACTTTTCCCAAATGAGGTCACCAATTCAGGCACCAACAGACAGCAGAAAGAAAAACAGGTAAATTATCCAACATAATGACACTGTCAACTATTCAGTTAAGTGCCCTATTCCAATCATCCCACTTCTGCCTTCTCAGGTCTGATGTGACCAATGCCAGCCCATGTTCTTAAACCTATGGTACTTCTAGACAACGTATGTAAATTTACAGTATACAATTTGGATTCACCATGCATGAATACTTTGTGTGTAACATTTAATAAGCTCAATCTACATCCAGAATAATTTACATGAAAGGACAATATTTATTTAAACAGAGCTCAATGGGTAACCATGGTATCTGAGTGCATCCAGAGGAAAAGGGGTCACTGTGAACTCCATCAGCGGCACTCCCACACTTTTACTGTTTGATCTACACTCCCAGTCACCACGTACGGGGCTGTCTTGTGGAAATCTGCCAGGAGACAAAAGCTCACATTACCAACGAACCCAAAACTTCAGCATTTCCCACTCTTACTGAATGGCGCTGATTTTTCAAAATAATTCCACCAGCTAAAGGCTAAACTCCAAAGCTCATTGTGGCCGTACTCCTGCAGGCAAATTCTCTCATGCCGTAACTTTGTAAAGCGTGAAAATCTACTTTCAGTTCAGCTAGAAAGGAGCTTTCATGCAAAAGAAATCAAGATAAAGATACAAAATATCTCATACTGATAAAACCCTTCAATCCTACCCAGAGACAGCACTTCAGGTATTTTATAAGAGGTGTTCCAAGAATCGGGAAACTTGAGTTTTTCTTTTTGCTGCAGACAGTACAGTCTGTGAGCTGGTATTTAAAAATGTACAGCGTACTGTTCCCAGGAGATCCCCAAGTATTTCATATATAGAAATCAACGTGGGGCTGGCTCAGAGTCAGGACAGGGAAATTTAAGCAAGAGGAATCAGCCTCACTGTAGGAAGGCTCAGCTCTAACTGAGGGAGCCTGTTCCAGATTTAACCAGGCCCTGGCTAAGGGTCTGATGTTCTTCAACTCACACTGTTCCTCACTCCGTTCTCATCAGCTGTCCTCAGCCATTTCAGGGGGAAGTCAAGTCCTGCATTTAATTAGACTTGCCAGTTTGGTCAGGGAACCTCAGCAGCCAGCTCCAGGCTCCCTGCTGACAAAACTCACCCAGCTCTGCTGAAGGAGCTACAAATTGCCAGGGGAACACAGGAAAAAAAACAGAGAAGACTTCAGAGCAAAGGTAGCTTTGCTGAACAAGAGAGGGGTTGGTTTGTTCTGGCTTCACCAGGGCAAGGGGGAACTAATGTCTACCAAGATCTGATAACACCAACCAGGAATGCCCAGGAATTCAAAGCAATTTTTTTCTGTTTTGTGCACACACACCCTGTTTTCCTTTTACTGGGCAAGCACTGGCAGTAGAGCACTCCCCAGACCCCTGCACACTCTGGTGACAGGTTCCAGAACTCCCTGGCAGTTAACATCCTTATCCATGTGCAACACTGGCAGCAGAAGTGGAAAAATCCAGCACAGTCCAACTCCTCTCTTTCCTTATTTGATTAACACATACAGAGCACAAGGCACCACTAGAGCTCAGAGGTGAATGCCAGCCTGGTGCTCAGCTGCAGCCCTGGCTCTGCCCTGGCAGTGAGCACGGGGAGCAATACGTACCCAAAGAGGTAACAAAGTGTTCGTGCGCATTCAGAGTTTTCATGCATCGCTTGTTCTTGAAGTCCCAGACACGGAGAGTCTTGTCATCAGCACAGCTCAAAATAAACTTTCCCCCAGAATGGAACAGGACACCACGTACCCAGTTATCATGGCCCACCTTGTGCACAAGGAGAGATCAGTGAGCAGGTGCAGGCTGAGAGTCGAGCATCCCCCAGCTCACACCACGGGACCCCGCCCGGCCCTGCAAGGACAGCGCTGAGCTCCCGAAGCCCGTTACTACTCAGAGTTTATCTCCGTTTTCTATTATTACACCTCTATCAGCTCTCTCAACAATGTGTGTTCCTGTCCTTGAAGGCAAACAAACAGCAGTCCTCATGTGATCTGCACCAATTCTGCTCTCCACTCCCAGCACCACCCCCCAGAATCCCGGCTGCAAACAGCAGGCTATGGCCTGCGGGAAGTCCCACACATGGGAACAACATAACATTTTACAGAAGACAAAATTCAGACCATTATCAGCATTTCTGCAGACAAACCAACACCACAGAACCTACACCTCAGTACTGCATTCACACTGTGGGTTTGGAGATACTCAGTATTTCTTAGCAACAATATCTGAACTAGAGAAGCCATTAAAACTGTATTTCCAGCATTTGCCTTATTTCCATAACTCTGGCTTCTCTTCAAAACATAACATGCAAGATAGTACATTTCATTAAAACTGGTTTTACGTACGCTGCTATAACTGCCACAAAAACACCAATGGACTTACAAGTGTCATAAGGCACATGCCAGTGCTAATGTCCCACATCTTAATGGTCTTGTCTCTGGATCCAGACAGCAGAAAAGGCCCAGGCTTGCCACTCTTCTTAGTCTACAGAAAATTATGGTTTAAGTTATGGCATACATGGGATGGATGGGGGGACGTGGAGGAAGTAAGAAGATCCCTTCCCAGTGGTATTGCTTAGTACCAAAATCAGACTGTACAACAGCTTATAGTGAATAAACCCACACTGCCAAAGCTGGGTCACAGGCATTGGTACTAATGCTAGGAGATTTACACAAAAATAGGAATTAAACAATCTGTTAAAAGAAATGGTTGTACATCCTGCTGATGCCACAAGCCAAGTAACACTTTGAATACACACTTGCCCACTGCAAGACATCCTCTGTTCACAGCAGGCACAGCTTAAGTCCCACATCTCGGGACAAGCGAGGACACAGCTCATGCATACCTCTGTATTCACATTCCTCATAAAACATCCTGCAACGAGGCAGGATGAGGAACTTCTGAGAACTTCCTACTGTGAAGTCATTTCTGTGTGTGCCCACGCCCGGTGTGTCCCAGGGCCGAGCTCTCGGAGCCACACCTGCCCCAGGTGTGCAGGGAAGGTGCTCCCGCGCGGGCTGTGCCCGCTCCCACCAGCAGGTGGCAGGGGAGGCTCCACCACAGAGCCCTCCCGCAACAGGAAGGGACACGCGGGATTTTGTTTGAATTACTTATAATTAAAAGATTATAAGGATCTTTTAAGGATTCAAGTAAAATTTGACTGAAATAACCTGTAAAACCTCATCACTAGACAAGTCCCTGTCTTCAGTGTAGCTACTTCTCCCTGGGGTGTCCATGCCCTTCGGAGGTGCAGGATGGGACCGCAATGCCAGGGGACCTGACTAGAAATGGGAATTAATGTCTAGTTCATTTCTTCTACACTTTGGCATCCTTAGGAGGAAAGTTTTGCTGGCCTTTAGCAAGCCTTCCTTAAGGCTCACCAGAAGAGGTATCTGTGGTCACACAAATGGGGATTCATTAGTTATGGAATGCTTTCTCCCATCAATAACTGTGCAGCAGGACACAGCAGTCAAGAGTTTGATTCCAGCACAGTGCACCCAAGGCAGCTTCATTCTGCATTTCTGACTCCTTCCTCCTGCCAGCTTCCAATTGCTAAGCATCCTTATAATGTTCACATTCTGCCAGAGCAGCTGCCTTCCACATTTTTTTGCTGCAATATAATAGTGTTCCCATTCTCACCCTTCCCAGAACAGAACATCTCTCTAAAGTTCACTTTCACTAGCACAAAGGTAGATCCTACTGATAAACACAAAAGCTGGATCCTGTCACGCCAAGAAGGGGATTCACTGCACACCAAGATGCTCAGCCAAAAGCACCCATACACCTGCTGTACCCTTTGGGCCCAAAGCTCAGTCACTGTCAGCGCTACACAGAGCAGGGACAAACATCTCCCCGTGTGAACGTTACCTCTGATCCCGTAGCTTCTGATATGGTGGAGTAGGAGCTCTCGGGAGCCCAGGAAATGCATTCTACCACATGCTCGTGCTCTCGGAGCTCAGCTTTGCATTCCTTCGTCGCTACCACCCACACGCGCACGGTCTGGTCGTTGGAGCAGCTGGCAATCAAGGTGCCGTCCTGGTTGGGCCGCACCATGCGCACCCATTCTCTGTGCCCCGTGAAAGTCTTCACGCAGTAACTGTGCGAGAGAAACCCCACAGCACGACTCAGCCACCATCCAATAACCCATTACACATGCCTTACATATTTGAGGACACTTGACCTACTCTTAGTAGTTAAGATAAAATATTTTAGTACTGGCTGGTGATGGACAAGGTCATAAACAGTTCATGGAGAGAAAACGGACATGAGAAAGAAGTGATAGCTAAGAGATGACAAATCCTTGTTAAGGTAGAAAGCAGGAAGCTCAGGGAAAAATGAAGTTGACACAACTACTTGCATTAAATAGGTATTTTAAGAACAAGCAGAGATTTACAGGTCACTCAGATATTAAAGAGACAACTGATGAATGAAACAAGCAAGACAACAAAAAAATAATCAGGATACACCTTGATGTGTGTCCAGAAAGGTAAGAGATGCTCCCTCTAAACTCATGGTTAACCAGAGAATTTGTTTTCCTAACTGGTCCTGAGTTCTATACTCACAGCTCCCAGAAAGACAAACCTAGTTAGTTTTAATGAGTCAGTACTAACACCTAAACACCTGTGCCCCAACGATTGAGGCAGAATCCTTCAGTGAATTACTCTAAAGGGCACATCATTATTCCTTAATTCAAATAATATCTGCTGACATTCGGATTCCTGTGGCCCATTCCTACACAAAGTGCTTTCTGCTCGCTTTGTTCCGGTGTTGCTGTTTGCCCAAAAGTGCACTTACCCTGTCTGGACTTCCCACATTTTGATAGTTTTATCCCTCGAGGCAGAAACTATATGATCTCCGTTGGGCATGATGGCTACTGAAGAAACATTATGGTCATGACCTAAAACCAAAATAAAACCTTTATAAGTGACAGTGGTAGAGTTTTCACAGAGCACACTTTATCTTGGGAAAGTAGCTACAGCAGCAGTGCATGTTTTATGGAATAATCTTTACATGTAAACTTGGGGTTTTATGAAATAACTATCTATATTTCTAGAATCCACACCGTCCAAACACTGAGCATCCTTTAAAGTTGCTTTCTGTTTACTTGGGTACATCTATGCGTGGGTGTTTATTTTTGTAAGTCTCAAACATTCTCTATTCCTACTCACCACTCCTCCAAGATGATACTAAAAGCACGAAAAATGCTTTTACATAAGAGTATAAAATAAACATTTGCTGTCAATATTAGAATCTTACAGGTGTGGTTGTTGCACCTTGCCATTTTTCCTATGGCTTTTGAACCCAGTGCAAAGGGCAGTTTCCCATGTGATCAGACACACACAGCAGCCACAACTCCTGTGGCACAGATGGCTCCCCTCCTGCAGCCCTGCAGCAGGGACACAGAGGGCTGAAGGAGGCAATCTTTCACTGATTTGAAGGCAGTTTCATTGTCTAGTAAGCATTTAATCTTTAGTGTTAAAATCCCTCTAACTGCCATTTCATTTCAGTACCATTATGGGATGCTTCCCACAGCATCATGCATAGCAGATCTGAGACGCTATTTCATTCCACAGGTCCTACATGTATCCCTAATTTACAGAGCACTCAAAGCATCAAAATATCCCCCCTCTTTCTTTTGGACAATACTCTGGTCTACAACCCCTTTCCACATCAGCAGTTTTCCTGGATTAAAAAAAAAAAAAAAATCTCACTTTACAGACTGCTAAATCAATCCCTTTATACCTTACCATGCATAGTTCTGATGCACTCAAAGCCCTGGAAATCCCATAGCTTAATGGTCATATCAGCAGAACAGGAGGCCAAGAGTTTGCCAGTGTGGTCAAAGGAAATATCTTGCACAGAGTCTGTGTGCCCCTTCAGGGTTCGCTCAAAGTCTCCTGTCTCGTAATCCCACACCTGACAAGGGAACAGAGGATCCGTTAGCAGCAGCCCATTACTCTTTGTATTCTCCAGCCTCACATTTGCACTCTGCAGGCCAGTCTGACACCTTGTTCAATAATTAATTGAGCAAGAGACAAAGACAGACAGCCCTAAAAAAGCTTAACAGCACAGAAAAATAAGCATTCTTTTTATGTAATTTTGTTACTTATAAATTAAATGAATTCATGCATTTTGAAAACTGCTTTTCAGTTAACCTTAAAGCACTATAAACCCAGCAGGAGAACAAGTTCCATTGTATATGGAAGTCTTAACAACCAGCACCCTTAAAAATTAAGAAGATCAATTTCAAAAACATTGGACAGAACAATCCACTTTGTTTTTCTTCACTGTTTTTCTCCATCTCTTTCTGTGCCAGCTCCCTAACTCCAGCAATACATCCCACTTTCAGTCGTGGGGAAAGGATCCTCTTTAACATCCCCCTCACCGTTGCCAAGCTTTACTGTGGCTCCAGCATTCACTGGCTTTCTTCAGAACGGAACAGCAAATATCCTGCATACCACAGAGCAATACTCAGAATGCTTTGGGTTAGGGGTGATAATCCAAACCCCTTTGAAGAGCTTGATACATTCAGACATTCACATTGCTGAGAAATTAAACAAATATTTGCAGTTAATAACTGCAGGAGAGCATGAAGTCCCGTTCTCACCTCCTAATTAAGTCAGTTGCCTATCATCTAACCACAAACAAAGCCTTCAAAACAAAACGAGCTCTTCCAGATTTTATTGCGTCTCTCAAGCACAAAATTGAGATATTTCATTTTAAATTATATCCTAAACAAACAAAAAACAAACCACCAAAAAACACCCAACAAAGTGGGTATTTCACTCATAACAGAGTGAAAACAAAGCTGGTTAGGCCCCTCCACAACATTCACCGCACACGGAGCTGTCGCTGTTTCAGCTGGCCCTGTTTGTTTGCTGCAGAAACAGGAACAGGTTAAAGGTCTCTAAATCCACATTAGTTTCATTTTTCCTTCAAGCCAAAGGATAGTAATATACTCTTGAAGACATTAATTGGACCGGCATACAACTAAAACTTGTAGATTATAGAGGGCACCGTACTTGAAAGAACTGTCCCTACTGAAGCAGAACCAGGAACAAACAACCTTCCACCAGTCCAACACGTCCAGCCTGACACACTGATGTCACCTATTACACAGCTCTGACTTGCTTAGTTCATTTCTCCAGAATACACACATACCTTTATTGTGGCATCCTCTGAAGCAGAGACCATAACACTGAAAACTGGATGGAAAATGACTCGAGTGACAGGACTCCTGTGCCCACTCAGTGCATACTTCTCTGGAGGACGAGGAATCCACTCCTTAGGGTCTCGTTTCTGACCAAGAGGTCCACCTGATGTAAATTCTTCCTTAGCTTCATTCAGCTTCGATTCTAATTCCATTACCTAAGTGCATGAATTTTAAAGAGACTGTTCATTTCTGGGTTTATACAAGATCTAATTCACACTCTTGCATTAATAATCCAAATCACAACTGACTCCTAAACTCACAGTAAAGTAAAGACTGCATGGACCCAACATGACTACCAACATTCAGCAGCACTGGTGTTTTTAAAAATCAAACCTAAATTAATCCTTTATAGTTTATTCTTTAATAATTTATAGCTCATTCTTTAATAATTTCATCATTAATCATTTATTCTTCTCAAATTCCCAAATATTTTCACAGGAAAAAAAAGTTCTACAAAATCCCCTGTACAAATACGTTTGAATTACTATTGTGCCAAACTACCAAAGGAGGTTGTGCTAACAGAAAGGAATGCTCCTGCTGCAGGAGCTGTGACCCCCATGGTGCTGGCATGGCCATTAACCAACAACAGAGGCACTGGAGGGCTAATAGACCCTCGCTGTATTACCCGCACAGGAGACAGGTCTGCATTGTTAACACGCTGATTTCAGGGGGTTTTTGCTTTTAATACACTCTCAAGCCAATGAACCACAATTAAAAAGAGCTTTGTACTGTCCACTTGCAGCAGAATCCCCCACTCTAATGCACTGGAGCTAATGGCTCCTTCCCTCTGGGGCCATGGCCAAAGACAAGGGGCAGCACTGATCCCTCCGTGCTAACCCTGCACACAGCTATTCCAGCTCCCCACTCACCAACTGCCTCCAGGCACCTCTTGCCTTTTCAGCTTCAGGACTGCACAAGCAATCCATAAACTGAAGCCCAGGAATTTTTACAAAGACACGGAGAGGATGGCTCTGCCAGCACTGAGATAGACAAAACATTTTCTACAACATGGATTTAGCTATTTTGCCTACTAAAGCCCTAAACATTCATCTTCGAGGCATCATTGTCTTACCACTGCATTTGTCTGACAAGGAAAATATGGAACATTCTGTTCAGAGTTAACTTTTTATACAAATAAATCCATCAGATCTCTACGTACCTTCTTTTGTAATCTTATAACAGATGTCCATTTTTTTTCCAGAAGTCCAGCATACTTCTTATCTAACTCTTCATTCTGAGGAGATACATTTAAATAAAGAAAGAGGAAGAAAAGCAATACATAAAAACAAACATCAAAGGCACAGAAGGGTAACTAAATGCTGCACTTTCTTTCCATGTACAAAATGACAATCTCATACTAGAATAATCCTAAATTAGATGCAGAATAACACAGGCATGGGGAAATAGCAATGCCACGGTTTATTCCATGAAAGATAAAAGCTCTGAGGACTGGCTACCTCGGTCAGAGGCCAGATGTTAACCTACTACTTTAGGAGTACTTGTAAAAGCTGGAGTTATCTGCATGAATAATCTATACAAAAAATTAAATCCCTCTTTGCAGAGCTACACTTGAATCCTTCCAAATTACTCAAATAATTTCAGCCTTTAACTTTTTTTTTTCATTTTAGTACAGCCCCCTCCAATTCAGATTTTCTTGCAAAAAAAGCCATGTGAAACTTTTAGCAACAGCATTTCCTCTTTCCCTCAGGACCATCTAGCCTATTTAGATTGTCTTTCTAACCTTTGGGAAGAGGAAACTTAATTAGGTTGATAGATAAGGCAGATAGGGGAGTGGTATTAGGATTTTCAATTATAAGTATGGTATTTCAATTTGTCATTTCTACTTATTTATTAGACACTGGAAACAGACTAGAGAAATTAAGTCAACTTCAACCACGCATTTTGGGAAAAGAGCAATGCAAGACTTGTAATAGAGAAAAGGCGAGGATTTTTCCAGAGTCAGCACACAGAAGTTTACTGCTCAATCTAGCTGTAGCCAGATGCAATGCACACCTCCTGTGCTAACAGGCAGCAGGTTACAAATGATACCAACAATCATCTGTGACAAAGGCAAGTCAACAGAACAAAGCTGCGAGAAATGAGTGCTCTGAGTCACTGGCATCCACACAGTCTGACCAGAGCCCTCATCAGTCACACAATCACAGGCTGCTTTGGGTTGGAAGTGACCTTAAGGCTCATTTTGTTCTGCCCCACTGCCATGGGCAGGGACACTTTCCACTAGGCTAGGCTGCTTCAAGCCCCGTCCAATCTGGCCTTGTTGGATGATCAACTTCTATGAACTGTTTTTGGCCTGCCCTCCTACTGCAGTTACCCAAAGGGCACACAACAGACTCAGGCAACGACTTAACTCCTGATGCAATTCCAATCTCAAAAGATTTGCTCCGTTTGATTAACGGAGAGCACAAAAGCAATCCGGTTTTGTCTTCCTGTTTCTTAAACACTCCCAGGTGAAATCAGTCCTCAGAGCTGCACAGTCTCAGACCATTTCAAATCTGGTTACAAAACCATTCGCTCAGAAATGGCCAAGTCACCCAATGGTTATTTTTCCCTTTTCTGGCAAGGCAATAAACTGTACAAGTTCATCACCTCCAGTTTTAAAACTGCCCAAGCAAACAGGTAATGGACAAACATGTTTGAAACAGATGCAAATGCCATAAAACTGACAAACTTTGAAACTAAAATACAGATGAAGAATTTTGTTTGAACTCACCACATCTAACTCAGCTTCCTTTTTAAAAACCGAATAGGCCTCCTCGTAGCCATTGGAACGGAGGTAATCTGCTATCGCTCGATTTCTACAAAACAACATTTAAAGTGCAATTTAAGGAGTCAAAGAAAGATTGTCATCACAATGTAGCACATTCTGGTCAGATCCTTGTCTATGTTCTGAAGTGAAATAGCAAAAAACTGTCATAATTTACTCAAGAAAAAAGTAGAATTCACAGATCAGTTTGCAGCATGTGCTTGTCGTAAATTGAGGAATTCATTTTTTATGCCATTAATAACTTTGAAAATATATTTTCATCATTTCCCAATTCTATTATCAAATACCAGCAGTTCTATCAAAAATAAAGACTAGAGAGATCTAAACCACAATACACAGTACGTGACGAGCACGTGAACAAAGCAACTCTAAAATGTATTGGGAAACAAATGTTAATAAGTGAAATTTAATAGAAATGCAACACAAAACCCATGATCCCTTACAGTTCATCTCGTTGCCTTTGTGACAGCACCATCGTGGCTGAGATGTCAGGTTAACGTGATCGAGCAGCGGCTTCTCCTCAAGAGCTAAAGTCTTAGGAACCCGGGATCCACAATTCGGTCTGCCACAAAGTGGCTTAAATCACACGTGTTTTTCCAGACGTGAAATCCAATAGGAAATCCAGAGGCATTCAACACAGAAGATTCAATCCATCTACAAGGAGGAGAAAGAGAGAGCATTCATTTCCTTGAAACAAGCACTCAGCAGGCAGCTCTCTTGGATTTACCCAAGCAGTGGCTTTAAAGACCGGGTCTCTAATCCAGCACGGGGCCCTTGCAGGTACAGTGCTGCACTATTATAACAGACAAATGACTTTACCCACTCCAGCAACATCACCTGAGGAAGTTAAAAGAACCACGTACTAAGAGACAGTACTTGCCTTTTTTTCAGTCACATGTTAACATGGTTTACCTACAGTTAATCTTTCATCTCGCCCACATTTAGGGCACAGCAAATTTTTAAACAGCTCTTCGGTCTTATCAGAGTGGCACCATTACCACGGGCCCGTTACTGCAGCTGGGCTAAGGCAGTGGTGTGATCACAACACATCTGGCTAATTTGGGATGTGGCTGAAATCCAACATGTTTGAGATAGTTCAAGTGTTGTGTTGTGGCTTTCACAACAGACTCATTTTTCCCACACACACTCCTTAGTATCCTGTGATTCAGTAACATGAAAGCAGTATTCTCAGTGCACAACCTGCTTCAACTTGGCAGCTTCAACCTCCGCCACAGCAACACCACCAAACACACACTGGCAGCACTGCCTTTGCTCTCCACACTGCAGGGACCTTGTGTGAGCACCATGGGAAGTGCTGACATGGCACTTCTTGCACACCTGGCAGGTGCCTGTACAGAACTCATCATTCACTCCAGCCGTTCAGCAAGTTTGGTCAACCATCCTTCAGCACCGAGATAAACTGAACAGGACACATGCAGAGGCTCAGAGAGAGCAGGTGGGTCTGTAACTCCCCACCGAGTGCTCCCACTGCCTCTCACCTCTGCCCCTCCCTACACACACAGGACACAGAGCTCACCAGCACAGCTCAATAACAACTTTGGTAAGGAGCCTCTCTTAAACAATAGCCTTTCTGAAAAAAATAAAGAAAATACTGAGCTTGTATCATTAATGACTACTTATCCATCACAGGGGATCAGAGGCTTGTTTCTAAACCTATCTAGGCTCCGATGTCTGCTTCAAAATGAGCTTAAGCTGAAAGTTGCTTGTATTCCACTCTGCTGGTGGATTTTCCACATCAAATGTTGCATACCATAATACTCCCCTGCAAGCTAGTTAGGACAGGAGCACTCTAAACAGGCAAAACCTTACTTAATCAGTCTAACCTCTTCCCCAACAGCTATTTCAGAAACAATTCAGATGAAAACTAGAGCACAGGCTGCATCCTTTCAGAGAACAGAAGCAAACATTTCACTTACTCTTGCCTCGTACCTAATTCCTGCCAGGTAAAGAGACAACTGGTTTTCCACAGATGCCCCGTGCTCAGCACACACTCAGAGTATCACACAGCAATTAATGGAAATTTAGTTCATCTAAAACGATCCCATCCCGCAGTGCTGAGAAGTGCCCTGCAGAGAGCGCTGCTGGCGGGCACCCCGCGCGGAAACGGGCACGAGCAGAGGAACGAGCCCAGGCACTTCTTCAGACACAGCAGCACTGCTGGGAGTGCCAGAGAGCAGAACACAGACAGCAACTGCCAAAATCCGCCTCTAGTACCGCCAGGGTAAAAACCTGAAGGTGGGGTTTGTATTATGAATCACCACTATGCAGTGGATGTCCAGTAAATCCAGTGCACTGACTCCAGTAAAAAACTCAGTATCTCATCAATTTTGATGTGGTATCTAGGAGATGCAACTATAGCACTTGTCTAAAAATAACAGCAACTGTGTTTGTAAGGCCATCCTTGACATGTCACCTAGTTAGAAATACATTTTCCCTCTCAAACATAAAGTAACCCCAAATTTCTCCAGTATCCCTGACACTTCCTAAACCTGGGCTGCTCCACGTTCTAACTGAATTGTCAGTGAGAACCAATCTTAGTACTAGATAAATTGCAACAGCTACAGGGCAAAGCAGCTACTCCTGCTATTAGCAAATTATAGCTGAGCCACAAGACACCAATCACTTGATCTACACTATCTCACTCCTCTGAAAAGTGGCTGTTCCAAGCACCCTGCTTAGTATTCCTGACTTTTTAACTACAAAGCCACCTGAAAAGAAGGCCAAGTATTTTTAGGGCAGTCTCCTTCATACACACCCCAGATAAAAACAGAACAGAATGAAAACAAACAAAACCAATCACAAACAAAAAAAAACCCACTCAAGCAAAAATGTCCAAACCCCAAAAGCCCAAAAGGACCAACATTAATTACACACATGTGCCATCATGTGTACTGCCTTTTCTTTAGCTGCAGCAGACTTTGTGACATACAGACTTCAGCAGAGCAAGACTAACCAGTTCTCCTCCATCACCTATCAGGGCTCCCAGTCCCCAGTGCATTCCCCACACACTGCTCAGCCACCAGAGGCAGCAAGGGGAACAAAACCAGCTCGCTGAGAACCACCACCTGTTCATTGCATCTTGCCCGAAACCGGTTACTTTAGTATCAGCAGCTTATTGTGACTGAGGCAGTGTCAAGACTGTCACATCTTTTTTGAAAGAAAAGATGTCTTTGCATGAAAATTTTACTTTGTTCTGTATTAAATACAGGAAAAAGCAGACTGAACTTACATAGAGCTCTCCACGAATAACAGCTACTAATTAAGTGTAAAACAGAACGTGCCTTTTATTAATAGATCCACTTACACTCCTCCAAGCTGTAGTTTCTAACTTAAAACCTGTTTGATTCCCTATCAATAGTCTGCACATATAAAGCACTGAGTGGCAAACCTCTGCATAGGGACAATCTTGCAACGATAGAGGGCTACAGGTGTTTTCAGCAAGATCAGGTGTCTTTGTAAGATGTTTAAAACTGGGAGCTAGACCTGGCTGAATGCCTGACACCAGAATAGGTACAACACATCCAACTGTCACCTCTCACTCCTCCCGGAGCACAGGACCTGCACAGTTTTCTAACAACACAAACCATTCCTGACCTAAACACAACATCCTCCTCAGCTCCACTAGCAGCAGCAGATCCTCAGACAACTGCACCTCATCCCAACTGCCCACCTGTCCACTCAGCTACAGATCAGCTTTTATACTTAGGACTGGTAGAAATGTCTAAACAATAAGGATACAAGACCTACTTCATCCTTAAGTGCTGCAGGACTGAAGAGTGGCATACTAAAGTATAATCTAAAAAAAAGATTCATTTAAAAAGAGACAGCCAAAATTCATCACAGGCCAGAATTTTTTGCTGCACAAGCTTCTGAAACACACAGAAGTATTGATGAAGAGCAACAAACTGAGCAGAAATACTCAAAAAGCTGAAGAATCCTCTCCTGTAAGGGAAGGTGGAAACAGCACAGTGCAGGTTCTTCTGATCTTCTCATTGGAAAAAAAAAAAAAAAAAAAAAAGCAAGGCCCTCTGTCTCTTTACATCTAACCATCCCCTCCCATCTTCCTAAACTGGGATTCAGAGATTCCTGAGCTTCACTGCACCAGCCTGTCACTGGAACCAGCTGCCCTGGCCACAAGCCTCACCCCACTGAGGACATGCTCACTGCCACTGCAGCGCTCCGAGCCTGTGCTGGTCCTGCCCCCACAGCCGGTCCCACCCGGGAAGCACACCCACACCCCCACACCCCACACACCCCCACCCCACACACCCCCCTTCTGCAGCCAGCTGCTGGCAGGGCACCCAGCCAGCCTCACACCACGCTGGCAGTGGGCATCGCTGCCCTGGTGTGGGCAGGAACAGCCTCTTCCTGAGGGTGACTAAGAGAGAGGATCTGACAGACAGCTGCTGCCTCCTGGCTTCAAACACTGGGGCCTTCCAGTGATGGGTATCAGTGTGGTTGAAGTGCTTCCCAGATCACTGGAAAACTTCGCAATAACTTAATGAGAGACCTGCTAACCATTCATAAATGCACCAACAGCAAATTGAAACAGGTTCAGCTCCATTTGTTAGCTGAGACAGCTCTACAGGAGGTATCCAAGCACAATAGCTACGCACACAGTCACAGCAATGAGGTAGCGAAAAAATAATCACTTTGAGGCAAGAGATTGTCAGAATTTCCTTCAGTTCATGATATATCATGCCAATAAATGATACAACTTGGCCCGCAGGTACTTCTATGACAGTGTTCATATTGCTTCAGGAGACATTTAAATATTACTTTCCATAAGTATTCACCAAATATAATTGAGAAGTAGATTATGGAATCAAATTAACTCATGAGCATTTTACTACCAACTTGCCAAAAATACCTGTTCATTTACCTGAACTGGCACCAAGCAAAAGCAAAGTTACTCAAATTAAAATTCCTAAAACTGTCCATTCTGTACACATTAAAAAATAAATCTAGTCTGTAAATTCCTTCAGAGTTCCTTATGGTTTTACTTAGCAGAGTACACTGGATAGTAAACAGCACCAAAATTTGGTTTGAATACCTATGTCCGGCAAAGACACTGGGCCCTGAATTGGACATTTAGCTTTTATTTATTTCAAGCAAATCATCTACCCTGCAAACCTACCATAAGACTAAACACACTTGAGGCCAGAAGTTTTTAGAATCAAACCCAGCCAATTTTCTTAGTTCTAACTGCTAAAATAGTGTCTAACTGCTAAAGCAGTGTATCTGGACATAACCCTTGACTTATTGACTCCTGCTGTTAATTACTGCAGAAACACCCACAGATATCACAGCTCACCCAAATATATCAGAGCAGGATGAAAGTTGTTATTTTGCCAGATTCCCCAAAGCCCTTAATTTCCTATTGCAATGGCTTTGTTTGGCAGCTGTAGTAACTCAGCGCTCCAGCTTTAACCGTGGGTTTGCCTGTACGTAGCAGGGCCACCACCATCCAGCTGCTTCCAAGAAACACACACATTGCACTGTGACATAACTGAAGCCATAAACACGGAGGTCCAAGTAAACCATTAACTACTAGTTACTAACTCATGGTATAAATTATACCTTCAGTGAGATGCTACATTTGTCCCTGCAAGGAATTGGTTCGGTCAGGGATT